GGGAAGCTGCGAGCTGCAGAGTCAAGGCTACCTCTTCAAGAGCTAGAGACATAAGCTGATGCGAATCAAGATCACCAAGGCCTACAGACAGCCTCTCCAGGGCCTGTTGCAACGAATCAGCCAAATCGATTAAGGAAAGCATCTCACTAACCCTTTACTTCTAACTTTCAGGTTATTTAGAATGTAAATGACAAACAGGTGCATCACACTTTTAATGACTCAATGTAGGCTTAAGCTTGGAAAATGCAACTGCTAGTCCCACAAATTTCTTTTAAATAAATCTGAGATGCCACTTTAAAATACCATAACTTTTGTGAAATGAAGATTCTTACTCATTTCTGTATACATGCAAAGCGTGTAGAGAGCAAAGGGAAGATGGGCCGCATGAACTCTGGTGAAGAACTCCTGATGCCTTGAAGGTAGATGTGGAGTGCTAACATACAGTTGAGGAGGTTGTGAACCTATAACCCTAAAACATACAATGTAACCCAAAGATACCTCAAGAAAAAGTTTAATGTAACACACACATTTATGTCACTTGCTGTGTTGAGAGCCATAATCTTTGGTCTGACCTAAGCACCTTCTGTCTTCTGAATAATGTGTAATCTTATCCTAGACTTGACAGCATTTAAGGTATAACCGAAACAGTGTTCCAAACACTGTGTTTCTGCAAAAAGTGAGTTACTCCCTACTTAGAAAAAAATGCTTTCATTTGTACTTCAATACCACCTAGTACAACAGAAAACAATGCATGTTTAGTCTTCCTTATAAATCCTGAGATTGAGTATCTTACTACCAAGAACATCTAAATTTATTCTTTTCCTAAAGCAAAACTTCTTTACAATATGAAAAACATTTACAAGATTTTTTTTACTTTTTAAAAATCTTTTTGGTACCTAAACAGTTGACTTAAAAATTAAACATTTCTGGGCCTCCCCGGTGGCGCAGCGGTTGAGCACTGGGTTGCGAAGCTGCCCGCAGCCTCTGCAGCGCCGGTTCGATCCCCGGGCGAGGGTCCCACATGGTACGCAGACCCCTCCTGCCACCCGCTGCTCCCCTCAGCAGTGTACCTCGGTCCTTCGGCCTGCTCTGCTCCCCACTCTGGCTCTGGTGAATTCTCTCACCCTCCCACGCTTCTGACTGTACCCAGTGCTTGTATAAATAAATAAATAAATCTTAAAAAAAAATTAAACATTTCTGCAATGGAACAAAGAAAGTTTGTTCAATACATGGTGCTGGGAAAACTGGGTTGCTACATGCAAAAGAATGAAGCTAGACGACTACCTCACACGATGCACAAAAACCAATTCAAAATGGATTGAAGAACTAGACATAAGACCTGAAACCATAAAATATATAGAAGAAAAAATCAGCGAAACATTCCATGGCATACACATCAGTAACATCTTCAAAAACTCATCACCCAAAGCAAAGATAGTGAAGGAAGACCTCAAATTAAAGACCTTCTGTTCAGCAAAAGAGACATTTGCGAAGACAAAGAGATACCCCACTGCTGGGGAGAAAATTTTGGCACACAAGACAAGGCACTGATCACAAAGCTCTACAAAGAGCTGAAGAAACTTAACAAAACAAAGTAAACAACTAGTCAAGAAATGCCCACCAGAGCTAAAAAGACACTTCTCCAAAGAGGAAATGCAAATGGCCAACAGGCAAGGTTGTTTAACATCACTTCTCCTCAGGGAAATGCAAATCAAAACCACAATGAGATGCCATCTTACACCAGTGAGAATGGCACATATTAAATAAACTAGCAACAACAAATGTCTGCGAGGATGTGGAGAAAAAGGAACTCTCCTGCATTGCTGGTGTGAGTGCAAACTGGTCCAACCACTATGGAGAGCTCTGTGGAGGTTCCTCAAACTGCTAAAAATGGAGCTTCCATATTATCCAGCAGTTCCACTCCTAGGGATCTACCCAAAGGACACAAACACATTAATTCAAAAGGATACCTGCCCTATGTTTACTGCAGCACTATTTACAATAGGTAAGCTATGGAAACAACCCGAATGCCCAAAAACAGATCTGAATCAAGAAGATGTGACATATATACACAATGAAATACTATGCAGCAATCCAAAAAGATACACTCACGCCATTCGCAGCAACGTAGATGGAGCTAGAAGGAATTATGCTCAGTGAAGTAAGTCAGAAGGAAAAAGAAAAATATTGGATGGTTTCACTTATAGGAGGAATAGAGTAGAACCAAATAAGACATCAGTGTAAAAAAATAATAACAGCAAAAATCACAATTATATATCAGAGACATCCTGCAGGGGAGGAGGAGGGAGAGGGATCAGAGGGTTGAGGAGGAGCACAGGGGACTGAGGTGATGGTGCACGGGTGCACTGGGGAAGGAAATTCTACGGGGCTACACCTGGGGTGGGGGGGACACAAATGTTTAAAAATGAACAATGATGTAAAAAATAATTATAAATAAATAAACTTGCAGCATCTTAAAAAATAAAAAAAATCAGCACTTTTCCTTATCAAAAAATAAGAATAAAATTAACAGATCATCTCTCATCAAAAATAATGGACACCAGGAAACTGTAAATGACATGTTTAATATGTGAAAATTTTATATTTTCCAGCAAAACTATTTTTGAAAAATGAAAGCAAGACTCAAGTATCTTCAAGATAAATAAAAATTGAGAATATGTTGCTAGCAAGACTGACCAACAAAAATACTAAAGAAATTTCTTCAGACTGAGAGAAATAACACCCAATGGTAACTTGAATCACAACCTCTGAACCATACCCTCTGGACCTCCAGATCCATAAAGAAACCAGTATATTCCCTGTATGTTTAAACTCTTCACTAAAGATTCACATCCCTTAATCATAAAATTATAGAAACCTTCACTTAATTTCTTCAAATTACTTATTAAACATGAGTGCTTAACACAAAAATTACAACACTATTTTGTTGGGTTTATAATGGAAATGCATACCACATATATAACAAAATAACCCTAAGTGTTTGTGTATGTTGGCGGTACTGTAAAAAGGACTAATTTTGCCATAAGAAAGTCAGTATTAACTTGAAGTAAATTATGATAAAAAGATGTATAATGTAATCCCAAGAGAAACACTAAAAATAGCCAAGATACCAGATAAAATGTCAGTATACTTGAAATGTTATACAAAAAATATTTATATAATGTGTAAAAAAACAGCAAAGAACAGAAACTTAAAAATTGAGAAAAAGAACACAGCAAAATGAAAGAACTAAATCCATAGGGATAATTACATTAAATGTGAGTTAAGACAAAAAGCAGGGACTTGAGTTCAAGTCCTCTATATTTCCCTGTGTCTTCTAATTCCTCTCTGAAGGTTTACTACATCTCCTAATTATTAAATTAAAAAACTTTACCTGAGGACATGGATTGACCTTACAGTCCTATCAAAAAGAATGAGATTTCCACAAGTCACACAACTAAGAGCTCAGTATTAGTGGACTTCTTCTTGTCTCAAAACCATCTCTGGACTCACCCCTCTTATTAAAGTGCTTGTTCACCTAAGCTCAAGTCAATATCACCTTCTACCATTTACTTCTCAACTACCTAATGCTTTAGTCACTTTTCCCTCCTTCATTCATGAAAAGACTTCACACCCAATTTGTCCTCTTCATCAAATCAAAGCTTACCATTCAGTACCCTATCTATTCTTTTGCTGTATAACAAGCAGGGAGATTCTCTTCCAGTGTCATCATTTGCGTAATGTAAATCTTCCCTGCCAGACTAAGCTCCATTAAAGTTGGAACTAAAGCTGTTTTGTTCATTGGGGAACCCCAAGCACATAGGATAGGATATACAATTAGTTATAAGTTTTCTTTTTTCATCCCCACCAACTATAAAAACTTCGAGGCTTAAAAAAAAAAAAAAAAAATCCACTTGGAGGCTACCAGCAGCACTGTATAGCTTAGAAGAGAGCCAAGAAGGCCAATAAAGTGACTGGGGATCATATATTTTAAAAAAAGAGAAAAAAGAAATCAAAAGATATTTTACCCAGAGAAAGTATTTGTTGTATGTCATGTATAAACTAAGGGAAATTGATAGGCAGCTTAAAATATAAGATCAATCAGGGCCTCCCTTGGTGGCGCAGCGGTTGAGCGCTGGGCTGCGAGGCTACCCGCAGCCTCTGCAGCGCTGGTTCATTCCCGGGCCGCTGGCGAGGGTCCCGCAAAAAAAAAAAAAAAAAAAAACCAAAAACAATCATATAGAATATGCAAGGCTGAAAACTGAGAACTGAGATGAGGAACTGGGTTGGCTACTCATCAGGGGCTGGCTTTATGGTTACTGGGCCTCCATTTGCTCATCTATAAGTAAGAATTAGAACTTTGGGTTCCACACATTCAATTTCATTCATGTCTAAGAGTGCTCCAGCTGCAGTCTGAAGAGGATGCTAAAAGAAGGCAACCTACAGAGGCAGAGACATATCATGTCAAGATATGAAGTTATCCTATAAAAAATACACTCCAAGAAAACTCAAAGATTTAATTAGTTTCATACATGGTTGGGCTAAAAAAAAGTCAGCAAACTATAATCCCTGGGGCAGTCGCTGTTTATGTAAATAAAGGTTTAGTGGAATGTTATTGTCTATGGTTGCTTTTTCCTGCTACAATAGCAGAGTTGGATAGTTTTGAGAAAGACCATAAGGTCCACAAAGCCCAAAAATTTATTGTTTGGCATCTTAAGAAAAAATGTGCTAAGCCTGGGCTGTATCATCTAGAAGGTTCATTTTACATTATTATACGTTGAGAATGAAAATAACTACATTAAAATGGTCTGAAAATAGAGGATACAGATAAACTGGGAAAAAAGAATGAGAGAATAGATCCCAATAAAATATGACCTCAATTCCCCTTTCAGTGATTATGCTAGCTTCTCTCTATAAACTAGTGGGTGGCTCATCTTTCTATTATTACAACCTTCTATATCTTTGAGCAAATAAAAGGTAGAGGAGCATTTAACACTCACCTGGCCTCCTTAACTTTTTGTGCATTCCCTTGACAAATGAAGTTTTCAATGTAACCAGCAGTGCAGTTGATTTTTGACCAATCTGGGTCACAAATATCCAAGAAGTGAGGCCGCAGTCTGCCTATTGAATACTTGGCAATGTCAGTCAGGGACTGACTAGCAGCTGCACCAAATAAGAATGTTCCAATGCCTTTGTAAATAGTGGCTATGTAGTTATTTCTGATAAAGGAATTCGAGTGCAAGAGGTTAAAGTAAACAGACAAGGTTTCTCCAATAATTATCTGAAATAGAAAAGAAAAACAATATGTTAAGGCAACCACAGGCACTTAATTTCTTTTTCTTTTAAATTACCTGTAACATTATTTTCAGGTATAAATATAACCATTTGCTATTTGTACATATTGCAAATTGCTCACCACAATAAATCTAGTTAACATCATCACTCTACAAGTTGCAGAAGTGTTTGTCTTGTAGTAAGAACTTTTAAGATCAATTCTTTGTAACTTGCAAACATGCAGTACAGTATTATTAATTGTAGTCACAATGCTGTACATTACATCCACATAACTTATTCATTTTACAACTGGAAGTTTGCACCTTCTGACCCCATGCCCATTTAAAGAGCAAGTAGGTCCTTTAAACAAAATAAAAAATAGAGAGGAAAATGGGAACTCACGATAAAATCTTTGTTTCAAAAACACTTTTTTTCCCTCTTTTACAAAAGGGGGCTATAAAAACTTAGGATCTCTAATTCTAAAACACACCAAAAAGGTATAACATCAGTTATAGATACTGCTTATAAAGAAAACAATGACTGCACCGAAATAAGTTCAGTCTACCTGAAATAACAAAACTTTACGTTTTTGTATTCAAAATAAACTGACATCTACTAAATAGACAATGAAATATTAGACAAAAACCATGGTTTGTTCACAAAACAAACTTTCCCAGCTAGAGTATCTGACAGAATCTTTAATCTTATCAAATATTCCTTTAAATCAAAGACATACAACATATGTGAAAGAGTAAAGTGGTTCGAGGGAGGGAAACTAATACAGAAACACAGGGCTCTAACACTGAGGCCAGAGGAGCCAGGGGATGAGACTGACAGCCCAGTCCTGTCTCTCCAGGACACTCAGAAGTCTCACCCAAAGACTAACAGGTGAGTCTCTCCTCCTCCAAGGAAACATTTCAAAATTCTTCCCTTTTTATTTTTCATTTACTCTTGTAAAACAGGGGTTAAACCTCCCTCAAGTCCTACTAAAGCTGGGTGTGAAAGTGTGCACCAGTGTAATAAGTTTCAAGGCATGAAAATGCTTTCAAATTTTTTACAAATTCACAAACCAATTTAAAGAGTACTGTGCAGCAACATTATAAAAAATTACATTTGCTGATAAATCAGTCACACACTGGCTACTGATTGCTGATTGAAGTTTGAGGGGGAGGGAACATGAGTAACAAAGTTTTGACTAAGATGCATCTAGTTTTCCTGCTTCATCTTAAATTTACATAAACGATTTTTACAAAGCATGCAAACATTTCCATTTAGAAAGGACCAGCTCTTCAGGGTGAACCTTACTATAGGTGACATAAATGGTGCCTCCTGAAAATTATTTCAAAAACATGATTATCAAAAATTCTTTCCTTATCTCCAGGATTCCATTATTAAAATGTTAAAGCTGTGAAAAGTAGACTACGAGCCCTACAAAAGCAGGGTGAAATTTTAGGCATTGAATAGAATGTTAGTGCCACCGCAGTGACCCAAAACAAGGTACAAAAAACTTAACTGACGGTGCTATTAGGTTAAAGGTAAACACCCTTTATTTAAACACATTAAGTCCCATAAGAATATATGCCTCATTAGAGTCCTTAATGTGAATGACTTCAGATCATTTCCTGAAAACAGGTCTTACAGGAAAGGAAAACGAGATGTACCTCTAGGGAAACTTTACCTCTGCAATACTGCTTAGGATTCTGCCTGACTGCCTCCAACGGCAGCATTAAAGTATATACTGCCTTCTCATGCTCTTAAGGTATTCCAGGAACTGCTTTGATAGATTAGCAAACAAAATTACAGCAGCTGGGGCCTCCCCTGTGGCGCAGCGGTTGAGCGCTGGGTTGCGAAGCTGCCCGCGGCCTCTGCGGCGCCAGTTCGATGCTCCCCGGTCACTGGAGGAGGGTCCCGCATGGCGCGCAGACCTCTCCTGCTGCCTGCTGCTCCCCTCAGCGGTGTACCTCAGTCCTTCTGCCTGCTCTGCTCCCCGCTCTGGCTCTGGTGAATTCTCTCGCCCTCCCGCGCTTCTGACTGTACCCAGTGCTTGTATAAATAATCTCTTTAAAAAAAAAAAATTATAGCAGCTGAAACTTCCAATCTCAGTTGCCAGCTGTTTCTCCTGTATAAGAACTATCTGCCAGAAACTGGTATTAATTTTTGTGAGTCTCCCTAGTCCTATAGATCCCTGTTTAGAGTCCCCCCAACTCTGGTTCTTGCCACTGACAAAAAAAAATTAGTTTGCTAAGAGCATTCAGAGCACTAGGCACAGATAAAAAGCTGATCGATACAAGTAGTATGAAACTTAACCCTCAATACTGGGGAAGTATGCAGGTTGAGGGGCTCTAGCACTAGGTCATCTTATGTCACTTTTTATTACATGCTCCATCTTAAAAAATAGAGAAATTATACATCATTTCTTCTAATTTAAATGTAGGACTGTATTTTACCTGCACATGACAGCTATATTCTTTTATCTTAACACCTTATTGTGCCCTTGAGTCATTCATGCCTTTGAAGTAGTCCACACTTCTGCTAACTGTGGCTATCTTGGAGTTGAGATGACTTGTCATGTGTTATTTACCCCAATTCCAAACACAGGATAAATTATTAAAGAACTAAAGATAACATTTGGGAAGAGTAAAACAGAATACTTTTGAAGATCAAAGCAAGTAATTATCTAAATAATTAAGATTCTACCATTTAAAACCTATATCCACAGTATTTCCGCAACATCTCCTTTCTATCACCACCAACCAAGATCATGTTATACATCCCTACATTTCACTCTAGTTACACACCTTCCACTCAAGGTCCACCCTCTCAAAATAGTCTAAAAATCACTGTGATACTTCCACTCCATATGAAATATCTCTGCCTCCATCCACTTTATTCTACTGAATCTCTCTCAAAGTCAAAATGGTACCATGATGTCAACAGTTTTATCAATTCTCCTTTACCTTAACCTCTCAGTAGCATTTGATATTACTGACCATATCCTCCTTATTGAAATTCTCCCTTGGCTTCTAAGAAACTATTAATCCTGGTTCTCTACAAGGCTACCTCACTCGCTCATTGTGCAGTCACATCAAAGTCTTGGCACAAAGTCTGAATCATAGTGCTGATTTTCAAAAATAAATTATTTTATTTGCTTTCTATAATTATACATCTAATAATACATTTATTTCAGTGTTGTCTGAAAGAAGCTGTGTTAACAAATGAACAGAAATTATTGTACATTGTGCATAAAACCACTGCCCTAAGCAGTATTTGTCTTTGTTGATATGGATGATATGACAATTGTACTTTTATATAGCACCTATTAGTGGTCTCTTTCAAAAATGTATACTGAAATTTACTTGCTCTTTTATTAAATATAATGTTCTCACAAATGATGTCAAACTCGTCAAAAATTTCCCAGTTAATAAGATATAAACAGGGGCCTCCCCTGGTGGCACAGCAGTTGAGTGCTGGGCTGCGAGGCTGCCTGCAGCCTCTGCAGCGCCGGTTTGTTCCCAGGCCGCTGGCGAGGGTCCCACCAAAAAAAAAAAAAAAAAAGATATAAACAGGTCTTTGCTGAGTGTGTAATTAAGCCTTGCAACTTGCTGCACAGGCTGTGCACATCCACACAGTGCCTGCTGGTGCCCTGTCCTGCTGCGGCCTGCTGTCTGTAGCAGATTTCTGTAGTATGGTTTGTGCAGTACCAGCCTTCTCATTGAGATATAAAGTAGAAAGACAAGTGCACTTGTAGCAGTGTTTATCTGAGAGCACTTGAATCTTATCTGAAATCAACTACTATATGCAACTAAGGGTCCTAGTAACATTTTATATTTAAATAGTAATCATTCAAAAATTAAACGGCAGGCTCCATTCTGAGCAGCGTGGCACCATTTCTGCTTTCAAGGAGCTCAGTTTTAAGAAATAAACATTTGTATAGGAAAGGTGTTCTTTTATTGATTACGCACCACAAACTGTGAGTTGATTAATTTTCAGTGCTAATATGGAGCTGTGATCACTCTTGAATAAGATACTACATTTCTAAACTAAGAAAACGGGGTGTTTTTAAATAAACTCCAAAACAGAGAAGATGTATATGCTGTTATCCTATTGGTCCATCTCTGAGATAGGACCATATTTTCTGCTTTTAATAAACATAAGTCTTATTTCCAAAGTTACAAGTTATGAAAAACATAAAACTAATTTAAATCATGGTGTCTTAAGTTGAGATGATAAAAATCATCTAGTCCGATCGCTGAAGTCTTCTCCCTAGAACACATTCTCTAAGCATTTCCACCTGAAATGTTAGCAAGCAATAGTTACTATTATGTTTCAGTACCAGTAACAATTATTCTGTGTTCCTGTTCATTATATATATAGAACTCTGACCTTTATTTTTCACTTCTAGAATTATCTAAAAATGATTTAAATAGGTAAATGAAGTTTTAACATAGCAATTTTTCTATTCTAGAATTCAGTAACAAAATAGATCATAAATACAGATTCAGTAAATTATAAGGTTATAAAGCATATGCTGGAAACACTGATACAATACTCATTTAGCATGATTATTGAAACAATAGCAAATCAAACCTCTAAAAATCACAGTAACTGAAAAGATTAGCATAAAACATACACACACTCAGTAGGTTTTTCTAATCATACCCTGTTATTCTTTGACTCCTATTAAAATAGCTGAGATTATCTTGATCAAATAACACCTTCAAGTAAGGATTAAAAACGCACCTGCTTTAAAGGGTTATACATTCAATCATTAACAGATTAACACAAAATTAAGCCAACTGTCCAAAAGCGATAAACTTGGAAAAGTGGATTTAACTTACAACGATAATATTGAATGGAATGAGTATTCCACCTAATAACGCATAAGATATGGTGTCTTCTTTATAAGGGTACTTGATGGAATCATCACTACAGAAAAATCCTCGTTGGAAGGGGGTATGCCTTGAAGTAAGAATTGCAAAAGGCAATCCAGCTAGTAAAGGGAATAAA